TGAATGCGCACAGACTTTTCACACTTGGGTGAAGGTGATCCTAGGTTATCTTGGGTCATGTTTCACATTTTATCCTGGGTTAACATTCATATTTCCATGTTTTTTCTTCATAACTCCAGTTAACATTTACTGTTGCTGCTTGACATTTTTAACAATTTCCCTCAGATACTGAAACTAAAAGCACAATGCTTATTTGACTGTACAAAGCTCATGAATATTTATTGAGGTAAACACTGATGCTGTTCATGCACAACTGTATGCAGTGCGTATAATGCAGCAATGAACTGCATTCTCCGCTGCTGTAGCTGATGATCACAGGCAGCACTAACCTTAATTTACTGGGATTATAGACCAGGTGACTTTAACATTAGTCCTTAAGCAGAATCCTTCACGGATCAACCAACAGCCACACAATCCCAGAAGTTATTTATAGTGAGCGGACAGTTCAAAGCATGAACATAAAATGCCACAAACAGAAAGAACAGGGAGTAAAGACCTGGCGGAATGAGAACTAAAAAAGAGGAGAACTTCCTGAAGTACTGCTGAGGTTACATTTGGCCTTTCTGGAAACACAACAATAAACTTCCTACTGCCTAAATGAGTCATTATGAGCATGTGATGACTGTGTGTGAATGCCAAATAAGGGTGTGTGTCTAAATAAAACTCACACCTACACAACCACTGGCAGCTTCTGAAGAAAAGACGCCCCTTGTGCTATATGCATCAGTCTTTTATACTCCAAGCCAAATCGCTATTAAATGTCTCTTTCAAAGGATAGCAAAGCTAAACAGCAAACCAATAGGGAACCTAATTAAATTAATCCAACGCAAGACAGCCTATCAGTTTTAAATATATTAAGTGAGCAAGTGTCATACATCTTATTTGCTGAGACGGCATGTATTGATTGGCTTCCTTTTCTCTCTTAACTTCGTCTTATTCTCTTAGGTCACTGTGTCAGTTAAATTTGACAGAATGCAGTAGCTTTTGTGGATAAAATACTTGGCTGTCTTTCAATGCATCTGCATCATATTAGACGCACAACAACATCCTGTTCGCCAAACTGAACTGTGCTAAGGGGCTCTTTAAACATGCAGTATTTCCAGAGATGAGGAAATGGGTGATTTAGAGAATAATCACGTCATTCTGCTTTCTGAAGAGAGAAAGGCATAACCATTTACAGACTTGGCAAATATATGCACTGAAGAGAGAAGTGCTCATTACATTCTGCTATAATATACATTACTACAGTGAATTTATGATGGCCGTCAATGAGAAACAAGCAATATTTTGCCTACTGACAACTCACTAAAAACTCCCGTGGAAACATATCCAGTGGCCTGCAGATATGTTATGGCTTACGTCCAAACATTCCTTAATGTGTTCGATGTTATCTTTTCTGAGAAATATGGCCCAGAGAAAAATGCACAAGGAAAAAGAGGGCAGGCAGAAAGAGGAAGAGCGCAGAGTTTATCTTCAGCTTCCCTCATTACTGGAGGCGACTCCGCAGGAATGCTCCTCAAAGGACTAAAGCCCCTCACTCATATGTAGGCACAGCATGGGACCTGTACCCATAATCACTCAGCCAATTAGGCCGTGCTAACATTCACATTACCAAAGACGAGCAGGGGGGATAAGAGGGGTTGGAGTTCATCTGCTGGAAGGATCTTAGGTAGCCAAGAGGTCTAATATCAGAAACTCCAATTCAAGACTTTTATGCATGTTGAGTGATCACTTGCTATCCATTTTAAATAAAAATGCCTGATAACGGGAAAATAAATAAATAACATGGTACAGTGTTAAATTATTTGTTTTTAAATTAAATATTTAATATTTTCCTATATACTGTATTTTTTAATGTCAACTCATGCTAATAAATTAAAAAAAATGTCTAATAACCAATATGGTCTTGATATACTGTGCATTCTTGGTAAACATAGCGATTTTAGCCAGATGTGAGTTTAATTTCTGTATTTGATTAAAAATAAAAAGTTTTCTTGGTAAGGTGCAAATACACAGCAAGTTCAAAAGACATGTTCTGACATGAATTAATTCCTCTTATTAATAATCCTCAATGCTAAATCTGCATCTGCTCAAAATCAATCTCACTTTGCAGGCTAAGCCCAGGGTTATGCTCTTCTATGAACTCTGTAGGTGTCGGCCACCAAAAAGAGCAGGAAACACAAATGTTTCAGGTTCAATTGTTTGTACCTTTAAGCAAAGCATGTGTCCCCCACAGGACTGTTCCTACAAATAGTGTAGTGTACTTCGCTATGTGAAGAACACATGCATTTATATGCATTTTTTTCCATTAACAACAAATATGTAAAACAGGATAGTGCCTTTTAATCGGATAAAAACAGAAAATATTCAAATCAGTAGTTATTACAATCACACCATGAAAGTTAAATGACTTATGCAAAGTTTTAACAGTTTCATATTAATCTTCCCCACAAAACCACCCAGAAATTATGGTTTGAATGCTGGTCCTGAATCTAAAGTTTTGAATCCTGCTGAACAGTGGCCTGAGGTTAAGGCAAAACCTGCGTTCCTCTTATCAGCTGGACTCTGGCCAGATTGTGGCCGTTACGCAGTTTTCTTTCTCCCTCCCTGTGTTTTTCTGCCTCCCTCGGCACAAAAGCATTTAAGACCGCAACATTTGCTGCAACTGAAGTTTTTGAGTGTTTATTGGGTACTGAATGTGCCTACGTAAAGCAAAGCTAATAATATCATCTTTAGTTTGGAAGGTCATGAGACAATCAATCAATGAGTTCTTATAATTGCTTCATACAGGCATAAAGAGCATTCCTAATCTGCCTCTTCAACGCCCATGTCTCATCTTTGTTTCCTTATCTACATTCAGGGCTTCAGGCAAAGCCACAAACAGCCATTATAGAGCTGGAAAATAATAAATCAACTGCAGTGCACAATTCTCTGTTGCTGTAAACCTGTATGAAGGTAAACAACATGGATAAGTAACTAAATTGTAAATAGCATGTTGACTTACAAACCCCTTATCTTAACTTAACTGGGAATAGACCATGAAAAACTCTAGCTAATGTTTAACTTGTAAAGTAACCACAGAGGCTTTGTTTTATCCATAACAAAGGGAGCTATGCACACTTCACACTCTCCTGAGGATGAAACCACCTCACCTGTCTCATTCAGCCCATATAACGCCATGGGCAACACCATCAAAGAGACTGAATGAAACTAGTGCTATATCTCACCCTGGGTGAGGTCTGGTGACTCCAGACACCTCGAATGAACTGCACAAGGAACTAATTTACAGACATAATAGAAAAGGTGATACTCTGAAACAATAGTCTACACACAATAATTTAGAAGAAACAAACAATTCAAGCAAGCCATTATCTACTTTTGTAACACGCATGTGGTTACCTAGAGGCAACGAAACTATTGTGATAGACTGTTATCACATCTATTTTGCAGCCAAATGAGATTAAAAGGTTGAACAGTGACAGAACTAATTGTTCTCTAGTGCAGATGATTAATAATGAATTATTTAAATCATCCATTTACTCGCTCTCACATTGTTTCAAACCTGTACGACTTTCTTTATTCTGTGAAACATAGAAAAATATATTTTAAAGGATGTTTCAACTGTTTTTGTCCATATAATGAAAGTCAGCGGGGTCCAATATTTGTTGTGGACAATATCGACTTTCATTTTATGGACACAAAAATATATTGAGACACTTTTCAAAATATCTTCCTTCGAGTTTCATAGAAGTAATTAAGTCATTAAAGCTAGAAATTATATAGCAAAAAAAAACAAAAAAACAATAACAACAAAATTACTAAAATAATACACTAAAATTAAAATGTATGTAGGATTAATTCATGATGATTGGGCCATTTTCCCCATTCATCTCAATTTACCTGAATTCACTCTAAATAATACTAAAATAACAAGAACAGGAATCTGTGAAAAATAGAACATTCTGATAAATTTAATTCATTTGTGAAGTTACAAAGAATGCACAGGCCAACTCATCTAGATGCAAAGGGCTTCTCAGACAGATTTGGGCGGCCTGTTTTGGCTAATTCACAACAATGGTAGCTTTGTTAGATAGCAGAAATGGGGAGAGGAACCCACTACTTCCTCAGAGTGCTAGTTTCTCAACCAGCCCCGTTTCCCACATGGTTCAGGCCTGTGTGAAACCGACCCTGCAGTCGCAGCCGCAGACCGATCGCTCCACCACAGAGTTCCTGCAGCGACTCTCACGAAGATTCGGCTCCCCGTACCTTTTCAGCTCAGAGAAGTTTTTTTGTTTCTGTCAGTGAACCTTGCCTGACATAAAAGGCCCTGCCAACCCTGTATGCAGCAGACAGCATTTAGAAAAGCTCCGAGAGTAGTTTTGGATACCGAACATGGGGAAAATGTGTAAATTGCATCAACTGTGAAGGAAGAGGGCAGTCTCACTAAGAATCCAGCCAAGGTGGCAACAGAACTGTGTCATACTGGGCAACCTAGACTGCACGACATGCCTCTCGATTAGAGACACGGAAACCTGAACATGACCAAAGGAACTTTCTCAACCCATGGTTCAAAGTCCTACATATATCCGTGTGTGAATGCATGTGGAATAAATGAAACAGACTTGGGTGGGGCTGAGCTTATGGCTCTTTCTTAAATGTATGAAGGAGTTTCAGCCAAAAATGTGCAGCACAACGAAGTAAACACAGAGTGAATTAAGTGTCGCAGACTATGAACTAGATAGCTTGTTCCTGTTTAAACATTCAGCTCAATTTTAATAGGACAGAAATATGAGTACAGACCTTGATAAAAGCATACTAAATAAACAATGTTGAAGAATGAACTTTAAAGATGGACAGACATAGATAGATAGATAGATAGATAGATCGTCACATGATAATTGTTTGAGGACATGCTGGATGTCTCTGGGGGTTGAGATGTCATGCACAGGTCTCACATCTGCAGCAGCAGAGGATGACAGCAGCTGGTATGAGCTACTTACTGTTTGAACATCTTCTCCATGTCTTTGATCTGCTTCCTCGAGAACTCCTTGAACTCGGTGTAGGGGTTAAACACCTTCATGCTGGGCTGCTGGTGTTCACCGACGCCCTCGTTCAGCTCCCCGCGCCGCTGCAGTTTGGCTCCCAGCTCTGAATCCGCGCTGACCGTGGCCGTTTTCTCGTGCGCTCCGTTCTCATGAGCCTCGTCCAGGGCCACCGGCTCGTGCTCGCCCTCCTCTATCTGCAGCCTGCGGTTCAGCTTCGATGACAGCTCGTCCGTTGCCATTTCGCCTTCTTCTGAAATCGAACTACTATCTACGGGGAAAATACAGTGGGGAAACACGCTGAATGCTGCAAAGTGCGCAGTCCATATAAAGATTCAGTGCGTTAAATCCAGATTCAGTTAATTATTTGGTTAAATACGTTTTAAAATGCAAATCATCCGACTTATTGCGTTGTGAAGTGATTCAAACGGGCAGAGCTCGTGAGTGTGACGACGCCTCCGTGATCGCAGACGGTGAAATAAGCTCGTGCTTGTGCCGCTTCACTACGCCACGCCTTTTAAAGAGACGCGCCGGACACAAAAGACCACTTATGATACAAAACCCTAAACTGTGACATCTTTTGTTATTACACACAACAATATAATCTCACCACAGAAGTATGTATTGTTTCTAGTTTATAATATACAGCTATTTGGGAAATGGCCTCATTTAGGCTATTTGTTATTAATTTATTCATGACCGTACACACGAGTGAACCAACTTTTTTGTCGACCAATTCCATAGATAGCCTATACTGAGCTGTCAAGTCATGTCATCAATTTTAAAAGCAATTCGCCATGCATGCTTGCTTATTTATTTATTTATTACCGATACCTATAAAATAATTACTTTAAGTAGCCTACTTTAAATTGAACTAACTTACTATATCTTGTGACTAAATGTTGACAGTTAATGATGTATCTAATAGGAATTATCTTGAAATCTACCTCTCTTGTTTTCTTGTAGACTCACGCGGAAGTTATGCCTGCATAAAGCTCTGGAGATTTCCACTGAATTTCCACAAAGCACTTGTCATTTACTAAATTGTACTCATTCATCACCTCTTGCATGTACACATATTGTTTCTTTTATTATTTTTTATATGAAATGATTCATATTTTTGCTAATCTGACTATGTTTTCAATAGGCGTTGGCCTACTACTATAGCTTGAGCTGTATAACACATTTTACTATGTTTAAATCTATTCCACATAATTCATCAGATCTTTCCTTAAAATTAGTGCTGAAAAACCCCTAGCACATTCTGTTTGGGTATCAGTGATGTGAGAAACACATTCACGTATGCAAGATAAACATAACATTTTGTTTATTTCACAAAAGCGTGAAATTGTGTTCATGTGGGTATATAGGCCTATGTGCTGCCAGTTTAGTAGGTGTTAGTACAAACCCAATTCCAAAAAAGTTGGGACACTGTACAAATTGTGAGTAAAAAAGGAATGGAATAATTTACAAATCTCATAAACTTATATTTTATTCACAATAGAATATAGATAACATATCAAATGTTGAAAGTGAGACATTTTGAAATGTCATGCCAAATATTGGCTCATTTTGGATTTCATGAGAGCTACACATTCCAAAAAAGTTGGGACAGGTAGTAATAAGAGGCCGGAAAAGTTAAATGTACATATAAGGAACAGCTGGAGGACCAATTTGCAACTTATTAGGTCAATTGGCAACATGATTGGGTATAAAAAGAGCCTCTCAGAGTGGCAGTGTCTCTCAGAAGTCAAGATGGGCAGAGGATCACCAATTCCCCCAATGCTGCGGCGAAAAATAGTGGCACAATATCAGAAAGGAGTTTCGCAGAGAAAAATTGCAAAGAGTTTGAAGTTATCATCATCTACAGTGCATAATATCATCCAAAGATTCAGAGAATTTGGAACAATCTCTGTGCGTAAGGGTCAAGGCCGGAAAACCATACTGGATGCCCGTGATCTTCGGGCCCTTAGACGGCACTGCATCACATACAGGAATGCTACTGTAATGGAAATCACAACATGGGCTCCGGAATACTTCCAGAAAACATTGTCGGTAAACACAATCCACCGTGCCATTCGCCGTTGCCGGCTAAAACTCTATAGGTCAAAAAAGAAGCCATATCTAAACATGATCCAGAAGCGCAGGCGTTTTCTCTGGGCCTGTGGCAAAGTGGGAAAACTGTTCTGTAGTCAGACGAATCAAAATTTGAAGTTCTTTTTGGAAAACTGGGACTCCATGTCATCTGGACAAAAGAGGACAAGGACAACCCAAGTTGTCATAAAGAGGAAGCTGCGACAAAGACCTAAGACAGTTGAGCAACTAGAAGCCTGTATTAGACAAGAATGGGACAACATTCCAATTCCTAAACTTGAGCAACTTGTCTCCTCAGTCCCCAGACGTTTGCAGACTGATATAAAAAGAAGAGGGGATGCCACACAGTCGTAAACATGGCCTTGTCCCAACTTTTGAGGTGTTGATGCCATGAAATTTAAAATCAACTTATTTTCCCCTTAAAATGATACATTTTCTCAGTTTAAACATTTGATATGTCATCTATGTTGTATTCTGAATAAAATATTGAAATTTGAAACTTCCACATCATTGCATTCTGTTTTTATTCACAATTTGTACAGTGTCCCAAGTTTTTTGGAATCGGGTTTGTATGTGCAATATCAGCATAAGATCTGATGCCATCAGCTAAATGACTAAAGGCTGATTCATGAAACAGGAAGCCACACACACATACTTCGTCTCTGAGACATCCCCTCTATAGTGATAGAGGAGGGGCTGCACTCACTACCTGTGTTCTCTCCTTAAATGGACAAAGAAAGAAAGGTAGGATTTCACCACTGAGAGAAAGGAGTGTTTTGTTCATCACACCTCTCTGAGGAGCTAATGTGATCTGGCATGCCATAAAACCACCACACACTGAAAATATTTCCTTTGTGTTGTGTGCATGGTGAAAACCCAGTCTGCATTAAAAGGGCCAGTAGGCTACTCATGATGCAGATGGCTGCTTTATAAACATGTTTTCCCCCAGAGAAGATTCAGATACAATTATGAGAGCCATAATTCACTAGGGCCTCCTCTTACTACTCTCTGGCACAGCCTTTTGCCTGGAGGAAATATTGAACTGTAATCGTTCTTGCTTTCTGTACTTTTGTGGGATATATCTGGGTCACACAAAATAAGCAAGCTGAAGAGAGTCACATACTTCGTCTCTGAGACATCCCCTCTATAGTGATAGAGGAGGGGCTGCACTCACTACCTGTGTTCTCTCCTTAAATGGACAAAGACAGAAAGAAAGGTAGGATTTCACCACTGAGAGAAAGGAGTGTTTTGTTCATCACACCTCTCTGAGGAGCTAATGTGATCTGGCATGCCATAAAACCACCACACACTGAAAATATTTCCTTTGTGTTGTGTGCATGGTGAAAACCCAGTCTGCATTAAAAGGGCCAGTAGGCTACTCATGATGCAGATGGCTGCTTTATAAACATGTTTTCCCCCAGAGAAGATTCAGATACAATTATGAGAGCCATAATTCACTAGGGCCTCCTCTTACTACTCTCTGGCACAGCCTTTTGCCTGGAGGAAATATTGAACTGTAATCGTTCTTGCTTTCTGTACTTTTGTGGGATATATCTGGGTCACACAAAATAAGCAAGCTGAAGAGAGTAACACATAAACACACAAAGGAATCTCCCCATGTCTCTTTCCATCATCCATCTCGTTCTGTCACCCTCTTGTGTAGTTACTGAAACTCTAAAGTGTTGACTCATTAGAAAGTGACATCTTTTTTAAACTATGACCTAGAAAAACAAGATATCACAGTATATCTAAGCTGCTGAGGAATTGTGTAAGTGTGTGTGTGTGTTTATGTGTGTATTAGGCAGATTGCACAGCCCTCAGCTATGTATGAGCTAGCTGCAAATGAGCATCATGCTAGTCTGTGTGAACTGTTTGAATCTGGTCCTTGGATAGACGCCCAAACTCATAGCAGTCTATTTTCTTTGTGTGAGAAATGAAACAGGAAACCATGCAGAAAAAGAAAGGGAGACTTTGAATAAAAAGGAAAATAGGCAATTATCCAGCATAAATATGTATTGTTAAAAAATATTATAATATTACGTTTATCTAAAATATATATATTTTAAATATATTGCCTGAATCATACAACAAACAAAACTTCTCTATGCATTCTGAAATGCATCATTAAAAAAAAAAGTTGAATTGTCAGTTTTGATTTCACGGTGACTTTCATGGTGACATTTTGCTATATAAGGACATGCATTTGTATTGTTATGAAATATCATAACATTATAACAGACTAAAGTAGCAAATTATGTGAAATCTCCTGATGTCTTTGGCTCAATCGCAGTACCCAAGCCTGATTCAGTGTGCGCTTACATGGTTATGAGTGGTCAGAGTGAAGCCGTGTTTGTGTCCGTGAGCTTCAGTGAGTTTGGGTGCTCGCCAGCATTTGAGACAGACTGTCCAACTCAAGCCAATTTTACAGTTCTGCTGCTCTTTCTATTCAAACTCCTTCAAAGCCTCCAGCTCATGATCTCTCCTTTAACATCTCCTGCCAGGTCTTTGTTTCCCCCTTATCAGCACGCACAGACACACCCACTTAGAAGGCAATAGGAAATTCAGATTTGGAGTCTGTAATAAAACAACTTCAAGGTTTAGGCACCATTTACAGCAGTGGGTTAACGAGATTTAAAGACATTAGGCTAAAAACGAATTAGCTGGTGCAACTGGGGTTGTAAAATCTATTAATGACACATTGACACAGTGTGATGTTTGGCTATAAAACTCCTGGCAGTCAAGTCTGTGGTGGATGGCATTAGTTCAGGCCTGGAGTTAAACGCATACATGCACATACACACAAAGAGGATAATGGTAGTACTAGTCCCAAAGGAGAATACACTGACAGATCTGTGAATACAGTACAATGAGGATCAGCTGTTTTATGAATTATTAATGAACACAAGCCCAGTGAGTCCATTGATTCAGGCTGCTGCCAGTAAAGTGAGAAAATAAGCAGCTCTCTAATGAAACTCACTGTATCATTCAGAAACAATAGTCAGGTATGAACAGATCTGGTCTGACAGCTGTCTGAGTTTCAAAACACCCGAACAACAGAATGCATCTACAGTTATAGGTAGGGCCGGATTATCCAATGAGCATTATGGAATCGGGCCCAGGGGCCCATGCACACTTGCGGCCCAAGCGAGGGGAAGAAAAAATTTCAGACTCAGAGTGTTACACTATATGCAAATAGCCAACCTTGTTGGCAGAGGTTATTTACACTAGCTCCAATGTCTGGTTGACATAGAACATTATAAAGATGCACGTAGGGTGTAAAGCGCATGGCTCTATGTTTTGACGCGATCGTCCGGCGTTTAAATACACCTTTTGCTGAACTCATTCTTCTCTTTTTTTCCCCCATCATATATCAGATCAGAAATG